TTTTTGAAGAAAAAAAATATTACAAGCAATAAAAATCTTGTCAGCATTAAATAACCTGTTGAGGTTGATATGTCGTAAAACACAATAAACCAAACGAAAAAATATATTAAGAGGCTGGGTAGCAAGACAAGGCTATTTTTTGAAAGCCCAGCATTACTAAATCTTGACTTTCACTTACAATTTTGGGGGCTACTTACAAAATAAACAGAGCTTACTTAGACTACTCGTGGGAAGAGACTTACTACAACTGGACTCCCAAATATAGTCCAGTTTACAGTCTGGCAACTTTGTATTGGCATCTTTTAACGTCAAAGATAACAAATGAGTTCAGAAGTTCTTTTTAATTCTGTCCTGGCATTTGTCTTTGCGCTGACGGATAAAAAGATTAAGAGCCACATATTATTATGCAGTAAGATATAAAATCAAGTTCAAGCTAAATGATAAAAATGACTATAGTGTTACCTGTCATATGATGGTCCTTTAATACTACAAATATACTTTTATTATCACATAAAAATCTTTTCTTTTTTCTTTTTTTTTCTTCTTGTTTCTTTTTTTTTTTCTTGTTGTTTCTTTTTTTTTTGTTGTTTCTTTTTTTTCTTGTTGTTTCTTTTTTTTTTTGTTGTTTTTTTTTTTCTTGTTGTTTTTTTTTTTTCTTTTTTGTTTTTTTTTTTTTTTTGTTTCGTTTTTTTTTTTTTTCTTGTTGTTTTTTTTTTTTCTTGTTGTTTTTTTTTTTTTTATTTTTTTTTTTTTTTTTTTTTTTTTTTGTTTCTTTTTTTTTTCTTGTTGTTTCTTTTTTTTTCTTGTTGTTTTTTTTTTTTTTTGTTGTTTCCTTTTTTTTTTGTTTTTTTTTTTTTTTTTGTTTCTTTTTTTTTTTTTTTTTCTTTTTTTTTTTTTTTTTTTTTCTTTTTTTTTCTTGTTTTTTCTTTTTTTTTTTTGTTTCTTTTTTTTTTCTTGTTTCCTTTTTTTTTTGTTGTTTTTTTTTTTTTTGTTTCTTTTTTTTTTTTTTTTTTTTTTTCTTTTTTCTTTTTTTTTTTCTTGTTTTTTTTTCTCTCTCGTTTCCTTTTTTTTCTCGTTTCCTTTTTTTTCTCGTTTCCTTTTTTTTCTCGTTTCCTTTTTTTTCTCGTTTCCTTTTTTTTCTCGTTTCCTTTTTTTTCTCGTTTCTTTTTTTTCGTTTCTTCTTTTTTTTTCTCGTTTCTTTTTTTTTTTTCTCGTTTCTTTTTTTTTTAAATTTTTTTTTTTTTTTTTTTTCAGTCCATGTATGCTTTAATGGCCAAGTGTGAAGAGCTTGGAAAATCCATGACACCCATTTATCAACTGGCAGATCAAATGTATCCTTTGGTTTTAATGGTTGTTAATACATTGCTTGTTAACTATCCATTATTGAGACCATTGTCCTCATCTTTGTTATATTCATGGCATTTCAGCCATTATACACTCCGACTTTCTTCAGGTCATATCCATTGGAATCTTGAGCCAAGCCCCTTATTTCATCCACATGGGTAGATTGTTCCAGGTCCACATTCCATGCTTTTCTGGATATCTCACTTTCAGTTAATTCCCTTTAGTGACACAACTCTTTAAGTATGATTTAATGATTGTTAATCCATTGCTTGTTAACTAAGTATTATTACTTGAAAGGATTAACTTAGTAGCTAGTTCACAACTTTTTCTAATTCATAACACACTTTAGAAGATGAAAAATAGCATGGTGTACTTTATATATAAATTAGAACATTCCAGTTACAACTGATGGATAGGATCTTTATTATGGATTGTATTTTTCAAATTTGGAAATTGAAACCTGAACTATAGAACTCCTAACTTTATTTTGGTCTGGCACACTGACATCAGTGTGCCACAGCATACATTTCACAAAAGCGTTAGATTAAACTTCTACGAAACCACTTATGGTTAACTCACTACAGGCGAAAAGTTTGGGGTTGGGGCAACACTCAGGATTTTAGAAAAAAATTAAAAGCTTTGGGCCCAGAAGATCTCTCTCTCTCTTCTTCATTTCCTCTCTCTCTCTCTCTTCATTCCTCTTCATTCTCTCTCTCTCTCTTCATTCCTTCTTCATCTCTCTCTTCTCTCTCTTCATTCCTTCTCTCTCTTCATTCCTTCTCTCTCTTCATTCCTTCTCTCTCTTCTCTCTCTTCATTCCTTCTCTCTCTTCATTCCTTCTCTCTCTTCATTCCTTCTCTCTCTCTCTTCATTCCTTCTCTCTCTCTCTTCATTCCTTCTCACTCTCTCTTCATTCTTTCCTTCCTTCACTCTAAACAATGCAATAAAGCCACTGAGTGAAAGAAAGACATTAAGGAGAGAAAGCAGTAAAAGAACAGGAATTAAGAATACAAAGATAACAATTGACATTGCATTTACATTTTTCAAGATTAAAGTTGACGAGAAAACATGAAACCAGAAGAGAACTCCATAAGTGTGAGAGAATCATGGAACTTACATTTACATCTAGCCAATTGTAAAATTATGAAACCTTGCCACCAATCTAGTACTGCATTAAATTCATAGTCTAGATACCAAAGAATAACCGTGAAAGTATTTCTAGAAAAGGCATAGGAAAGCTACATTATGTTGATGGAAAAATGACAAGCCAATAAAATTGCAGATTCTTTTTTGGATTTTATAAAGAACCTCTAAATGTATAGGAGGATCTCCAGACTATATGGATGAACAATACAGTTATAAATATGTCAGATAGATTCAGGAGTGAGAAATTGTTTAGCACAACACAGTGAGCCAGCTTTTTTAGCAACAGATCTAACAATTGAATTAATATAATCTTTCCAATGTCAGTGGAAAACCTGAGAAGATGCAGTGAGTCACACTGGAGGAGGTTAGCATCAGCCATGCTGATGGGGGCAAAAAGGGTTTTATCATATATTCAATAATAACAAATTTAACCCACTACTGCCTAAAGTGTCCTTAAAATTTTAGCACTTTTTGCTTAATCTTCTATGCTGGCTAATGGTAATCTTAGAGCTGATAGATGGGTTAAATAGTTTCCTCATCTTAGATTAGTTAGAGTTAATTAAACCGAAGACTTTTTCTATTTATTAATCCAACAGATTTTATTACTTAAACATTATTTTTTTTTATTGGATACCCATATTTGAGTAGATGCTCTGTTTATTTATTGAACATGTCAAATCTAACAATGGTTTGGATCTTGCCAGAGAAGCGTATATTTTTCTTTAAACCTTTGGAGATGGAACCTCATTTAGAGTTTCAGTGTCAAGAAGACAGAACCATTTTCACAAGAATACAAAAAAAAAAAAATCAATATAAAATCTCAGAACACAGCAAACTATCATAGAAACCACTGATAAAAGGCCCAGATAAGCAGGAAATGTAACAAGCAATGTGATTGGCTTGTACAAAGACCAGCCAACTAATCATGAAGCTTGTATTATTGGGCCGATGGATCAACCTAGTCGTTGTCTTCTTCATTTGACTTTTCAGACAATGGATCAGCCCTGTCATCTAAGGGTTAATAAGATTTCTCGAATATTCAGACCAGTAGATGAAAATAAATATACTGTTTAATAAATAAATAGAGCTTTGTTTCCACTGAAAATAATGTTTAAGTAATAGACAAATTGTGCATTGCTTGTCAGTGTAATGGGGGAGAGAAGAAATCTTCATCTTTTCTTTACTGCTTATCCATTTCTTATTCAGATCATATCTATGTCTCTAAATGTTGTAACCTAGGGAAACTAACAGAATAATCGCACGATGGTTGGTAATGAACAATAATACGTAGAACACGAACAATACATATAAGATTCGCCAGGGGCGCGTAGAAGTCGTAGTCTACTGCCAGAAGTGAGTCATGTAAATTCCACAATGAATCTCCAACTGCAGGATATTTATTGTATATAAAATACAATTGTGGCACAAGGCCAAAATGGGGAGAGGTTGAGGCTGGTCATCACTATCTTATACCTAGATAATCTGATTCACGGCCCATTCACACATTACAGTTTCCACATTCACCATAAGAATTCGTCCGTTACCACTCAATCCTCCATCCACCATAATACTGCATCCTCTCAAGGGGAAACCTACAAAACGTGCCCCCATGCCTTAACAATTTAATGATATATATATATATATATATATATATATATATATATATATTCTAATAATGAGGAATGAGAGGGGAGGGAGATGAACCCAATAATAAAACTAAAACTCAACACAAAGTAAACTAAACATAACTGATGTTAGTAGGGCCCATCCAACCCTCAAAACGAAGAGGCCGCTGTATTCTGCCCATTGGACAAAATGAAGAGGCTCTCTCACTAAGGGAGTGGGAAGGTGAAAATATAGATGGACATGGGGAAAATATAAAGCTGACCCAGTCGAGATAAAAATGGGCCAAAACAAACTGGGGAGGTCGGGAATCTCAACGTGAATCATAACCAAAGAGGCAGCTGGGAACAGGCCAGGAACAACACTTACATTAACTAGGTACACCAAAGCTTGTCTAACCTAACCAAGAGGAGGGCTCTGCAGGAAACCACCCCGGTGTGACGTAGGTTGACCTAAAAGAGAAAATCAAGGTTAGCCCCATTCAAACGAACCAAGCTCGCCTCTTTCACCCACCTTTCGCTGAAGACTGTTGAATGCAAGTGTTTTCTATCAGCTCTAATCTTCATCTTAAGCTGATGCTCAAAGAATCAGATTAGATCCTGACGAGAAAGAAGATTGCCTCACAAGACTTCCTCCATTCACATCATCCAAATCGCCATTTTGGCCATGGCCAGCAGCGTCAAAAACACCATCCATTTCACCCCAGAATACAGGGGCAACACATTGTCACACGCGTATGCACTTATCAATGAGCACAAGCTTTTCGGGAGCGAGACGAGCCATCAACTTGCCGACACGGTTCCATGAGGGGTGGACCCAGGGACAATGGTAGAAGGCGTGCGAAGCTGTTTCTCCAAGCCAAGGCCACACCGTTCACAGTCTGGCAAATCCACCAAGCCCCATATGAAGACCTTGTCATTGCAGACCAACATACAGTATTTACTACTGTATTTATGTGAATGGGGGCATACCCGTTATTGTCCATAGGTATGCTACAACACTAACTCATGAAGAGTTGGTCATTAATACAGAAAAGGGTGTTTGCCCTCTTTTTGTATAAATTTGCACTATTTTAAATAAGCTGGTCAACTTGTACTAAAAAAAATTTTTTTTTTTTTCTTCCAAGAAATAATTTTTGCAGATTAGCATTAATTCGAACTTCCTCAACCCACAACATTTGTTAGAATTAACACTTTTTTTTTCTTTCTAATTCAGTTCTGTTCATGATATCAACACAATATAAAATCGTTTCCTGATTTTTGACAGTTATTAGACTTGACTGTTATTTACAAATCTCGAGTTTCAAACTATGATTGCATTATTGATATCTGCATTTTTTTTCTTTTTAAATTTCTTAAAACCCAGTTATAAAGCATTTTAACCTGTAGGTGATAATCTTCAAAATTTAAATGCAACATCAATTGCCATCTTCTATCTTGAACCCTGTTCAGCTTTTATCCTTTCCTCGGTCCCCCTGTACCCAATTTTTTTCTCTCACCTTCGCTCTCTGTAACCCCCTGCATACCAGTGGTGTTACTATCTTGCTTGGGGTGAAATAATTAAAAAAAAAAAAAAAAATTGAATTTGAATTTCTTGGTGGTGTAGTAATATCCTTCTATGGCAACACTTAAAACAATCTTGACTGAAATTGAGAGCCAGGCTACTGCTATTTCAAAAATATATAACATATATAAAACACTATATTTTGAGGGGTTTCCATATACAGTGGAAGTGATGTTTATAAATAATGTTAAATAAAACAATTTCGAATCACTTTAAAAAGTAATATTCAGGGTCAAAACTTTCAGAACAATTGTATATTGGCATTTAAAGCTGTTGACATTTGTAGAAGAAAAATGTTTTTCTCTGACACTGTTAGAATTTCCTAAAATATTTGTTGTTCTTCCTTGATTTCTGATTTTTCTTCTTACAGAAAAGAGATCAAACGGTTGCTGGACATCTTTGAAAACAAGTTGGTGGAAAGATCATGAAAAGCTTAGTGAAGCAAATTCAAAGAAAAAAAATGCTGAGGGTTGCTATTATTTTTTATTTTATTTTTTTTTCTGTTCCCACCTATTTCCACTTTTTTTTCTCCCCTTTTTAATAACCTCTTTGATTTATCTGTAATATCTTATGTACATATTACTGTGTTTTGTTATTACATTTTGTTGTTTTGTTTGTTTTTTCACTGGCCTGGCTGATGTGATGGCTATAATCCTCTGCTCAATTTTAGCCTCTACTGACTGATTTATTTTTTTTTTTTTTTTTTTTTAAATTGTTTTCTCCACCCAATTCTACCCCAGTCTATCTTTTTTCTTTGTACTTAATTTTTAAAAGAAAACTAATATTCATTTTAAGGTTATAGAAACAAAACATTAATAAAAATAAAGCCAAAAAAAATTTTTTTATTATTTTTATTATTATTATTAACAACAGCTGAAAACTTCAAAAAAAAATTTTTTTAATTTTTTTAACAGCTGAAAACTTCAAAATTTATTCACTGGATGGCAAGTGTTGTCTGACTTTGATAATTTCCATTTTGTTAAAAAAAAAAAAAGAAAAAAAAGAAAAAAGATAATTGCTATAACTACTTAATCTATTGCACATGCTTACTGAGCAAAATAACTTCTTTAGATGGTCAGCTTTGTATGTGTATCCCTACTAACATCATAAAAATATTGCTTAGAATATTTAACTTGCAAATTAAATTGTGTATTTTAAATTTGACATGTGCAGCAACAAAAATACACACTTTTGAATGGAAATTTACATTGCTCAGCTAAATCACAAATGTACCCAGCTTGTAACTGAAAAAAAAAATTAAATAAATGTAAACCAAATAGATATGTATGTTAATGTATCCCCAAGGTGATCACATGATGCCATAGCAAAAATGATGTTAATAAATCTCATTAACTAATTTTTTTTCTCTTGTTACAAGAATACCTTTTTTTTTTTTTCTGTGACCTCAAAAAGTCTATTAATGCTATGCAAAATAAGGAAAAATAAATTTTACAATTTCTTTATTTTTATTTGGAGTTTGATGGGGAGACACTTTTATTGGCTTGTGTTTAGTAATTTAATGTTTTTTGTTTTTTTCTTTTATCTCTACTTTTTTCAAAAAAAAAAAATTCTTTTGTAGTGGTTTGTCATTGCCTACTACACTGTCATTTCTAATTTGGGGGAGTAATTTTTTCTTTTTTATAATTTTTGATTACATTCCTACTGGAAATTGATTGACTCCTAAAGCTTTTGTTATGGTCTATTGCTGAAACCATCAAGTCCTATGCCCTCAAGGGTTAACACCTTTTCTTATAATACAATGATAGTTCTGATAATTAAAAACAAAAATCACTTGGCCTATCAATGAATTGATCAGATACTATCATATTTTTAATTTGATATTGAATTTATAAGGTTACATATTTCTTGTATTATCTTCTGCCGTTCCTCTTGGAAACGGCAGGTGCAACCCAAATCTTCATTCCACTGTTGAATTTGTCGTGTTACTATCAATGAAATATGAGCAAACTTGGGCCATTGTGCCTGTAAAAAAAAAAAAAAGTGTCAAAAGGATGACCCTCAGCAATGTTTGTTTTTAAAAAAAATTGATTAGAATTGTAATAAAACCTTCACATGATAAAAGTGAATGTTTTTTTGTTGAGAATTCACAACAAAAAATATTAAACAGTATTAGATTAATTTTGTATTTGCAGCATTCTAAAAACTAATACAATTGTATTAAAACTAATACAATGCAATATTTTTCATTTACCAATTAATAAAGAAATATGAAAACAATTTTTTTATTCATAAATTTATAAAGATTTACTAAATTATTAAAATATTAGAAAGAAATCCTTATTTACCATTTTAGAAAGTTTAAATTGATTGGCAATTAGCCAATGTTTTGCTAACCATTCCAATAAACAAATGTTATTTTTGTTGTAAATTCTCAAGAACAAAGAAAAAAAATCTTTCATATGTTTAGATTTTACTAATTCTAATCATCACTTTTTAATACAATAAACATTACCAAGGAGTGAAGATAGTTAAAATATCAGTGTCAGTGGGGAGAGGGAAAAAAAATCTTTTTTAACATTTCATTTTTTGGTGGGCATGAAGGTTCAAGTTTGCCAAAATATGATTGCCTTGTATTTAATACCATTGCTTTCTAATTATTATCCAGACAAATTCTCTTTTTATTTATGACATACTAAGCATAATTTTAAGATTTAGGTAGGTTATATCACAACTTTTGGGATATGTTGGTAAAATGTTTTTTTTTTTTTTAAACACCAATCAACAAACATGCAAAGCAGCAAAAGAATGCTACCCTTGTTAGCTCTGCCTGATTTAATAGGCCAATAGCAGCTGTAGTCAATTATTCAGGATTTCTCTTGTGCTTTGACATTCCCAATTTATTCTATTTAATTCTCATTTAAGTAAAGTAATACATTTAGGTAGAAGAGCAGGAAAAAAATGAATTCTTCCTGGTTGGCTAAGCCAATAACACCGGTAGTGAGGATTTTTCTATATTGCCAATGCAATTAAAATGTAAATTTACATTCAGTCTAAGTATTCCCAGATAAAATAAAAACATTATTTTATAGAAATGCCTTGGTCTCGTATAATGTTGGTTGCTTAAGAACTCTTCAAATAATCAGATGTTAGTTTTAACTCCTTGTAGGAGAGAATCAGGCATAATTTTTGTTCTGGATGATGAATTTACTCAAGTTAATTTCTAGTTGAAGAATATTCATTTTAATTATAGTCTATAGAAAAAGAAACATGTATGTAAGCTTTTATATATCAAGAACAATTTTAGGGAAATCTGACAAAATGGAAAATGTTTTTGTGTGATGTGTTTCATCCTTTGACTTCAACAGACTAAAACTTAACATAAAATTTCCTACAAAATAAAAATAAAAGAATTAATGTAAAACAAAATAAGCTAAAATTTAAATGAATTTACTCTATCACCTGTAATAATTGCCGCAAGGAATACATAGGAGAAACCTCAAATTTATATAAAAGATCTTTTACAAAATGACACACTCAATGCATTAGTTGCTTACCAGAAGTCTGACAATAATTTTGATGTAAAAAAAAAAAAATAAAAAAAAATGCTATTCTAATTAAGAGAAAGTGATTTACTAAGACAAAAGTGTATAGAAAGTGCTTTAATCGCTAGCTCACCCACAGTAAATTTATGTCCAGGTTCTTACATTTCAGCTTTCTTGGCAGATCTATTTGTTTTAATTATATTCCATGGAAAAAGAAACTGAGTTGTTGCAATTGAAACATCTCTGGCTTATTCTACCCGAATGGGTCAATGATAAAAGGTCTCTTTAATGTCAATCTACAAGGCCAACAGCTTTGATCCATCCTCTTCAGGCTTGTCTTCATTGCTGGATAGAACCAGACAAAATCAAATTAATATTTGGTTTAGGTATGTGATAAAAAACTTTCAGTTTACATGAATTACTGTGTAACAGAAGAGTTATCATTCAAGTTTGGTAGTCTCAGTTGACAAAAACCTTCTGATCAGGGGCATTGCTTGTTGGATGTAGTTTATCAGCACACCCAGGACAGAAGTTGGATATGAACCTGTGATGTATAGATATATCTGGACATACAATATATTTGATTGTGTTCCTTATTTCTTATATAATAAAATATATTGCATTTGTTTTTTGACTTGCTCTCATATTAGCATAGTGTCTATAAAAAAAAAAAATTAAAAAAAACTGGGATATTTACATGCAGATTGACATAGTCCATTTATCGGTAACTTTTATTCACTGAGATTTAAAATATCAAAATGCCATTTTCAGCTTTCCTATTCATGATCCATTCAGTATGAATTACAAATGTTGGAGTTCATTTCAGAGTCCCAAACTATTGATAAAACTTGTTAGCTTTTTGCTTAAAAGTGACTCAAATAACATATAACATACAGGTGCAAAATTCTCATCTCAAACAAAAATAAGCAATGGAAACGCTCTTCTTCATAAAACTGGGGGTGCTGAAAAGTTTTTGTTCCAATCAAGAAGAGATTTAAAAAAAAATTTGATGGGTCAAACAAAGATCTTTCCAACAACCCCTTCATATATTTACTCAGTTTATTGTAACAAGGTTTACCAAAATTCTTTTATAAATATTTCTGATAATGAGTTGTAGCTTTGGTTACAAGAAGCTATGCACAACAACTGTTAAATCACTCATTTAATAATGTACAGTGTAACCCGGATATAAGAGAGATTTTCTCTGGTCCCAAATTAGAGCCTGTGTTAATGTATATAAAATAGACCAAACCCGGATATGAGAGACTTCTTCTCCGGTCCCGACAACTCTCTTATATCCGGGTTACACTGTAATATGTTTTAACTGGTCCAATAAATGTATCACCAAAGAAATTTCACGTGTGTGTGTGTGTGTAATATATATATATATATAATTTTTTTTTTTTTTTAAGTGAAAGAATAAATGATTTACCAAAATTGAAATTTATTCTGTGATGGATCCTTTTTAACATTAAGATTCCAATAAAATGGTCCAGCACTCTTTATATGGTATTAATAGGAAGAAAATCCTTTGACCAACACTTTACTCCAGATTTGCTGGTTTCATATTTTAATTTTGAATATCATTTTTTCATTTACAGAAATATCTTCAGTCCATCATCATAATCCTGATAGCTTCTTTATATATTACTATTAATATTTTGAAAATGAAAAAAAAAATATTTAAATACCATCAAAGTCTGATCAGATACTGATAGCAAATTATTTTTTTTTTGTTTTAAACATAAGTCATTTACTTTCCAACTTCAAAGATGGAAATGGTTGTCTCTTCTATCAAATTTGCTTACTCGCTGGAGGGAAAATGATATATAAGCTTTTATATATCAAGAGCAATTTTAGGGACATCTATGGAAAAAGTTTTTGTGTGACACATTTCATACTTTAGGACATCATCAGACTTAATATAAAATCTCCAACTACTTTTTTAAAGTAGAAGAATTAATTCAAAACGATAATAAGCTAAAACTAAAAGGAATCTAGTCTATCACCTGTAATAATTGCCACAAGGAACATATAGGAGAAACCATGAGAAATTTATATAAAAGACTATATGAACACAAAAGGGATCTTTTACAAAACAACACACTAAACATATTAGTTGGTCACCATAAGAAGTCTGACAATAATTTTGATGTTTAAAAAAAAAAAAAAAAAAAATTCTACTTTGATTAACAGAGAAAGCAATCTACTAAAATGAAAGTGTATAGAAAGTGCTTTAATCACTAAATCATCCACAGTAAATTTATGTCTAGGTTTTTTTTCATTACACCTTTCTTGGCAGATAATCTGTTATTACAATGTGGAATACTTAATAGAAGTAAAAACAAAAAAACTAAATGAAATCATCTAGATTATGTACCCAAACACAGATGTGGAAAAAAAAAATTTACATTTAAATTTATAGCTCTCAGCATCATCTCTTCATGCACGTATGTAGTTTTATCAACATAAATATCACTTTCATTTGATGAAGTCATAAGGGACAAAATGTGTCACATGAAAACCTTACAATGTTGAGTGAATGATTTTAGACAGATTTTGTCTAAATTTCACCAGCCATGTGGAATCAATTTACAACAGATAGCAAAGTTCTTCTTTAAAAACAGGCCCAATATTGGAACTGTGTTTTTTTTCGTTTTTTTTCGTTTTTTCACAATTCTATGATTTTTCTTTTTCTTTTCACAAAATTTAACAATTAAACTTTGTAGCTAAAGCAATGATTACTTGATTATTGAAATGGTTTATGACTTCCAATTCTGCTTTTTTTACATTCTACTTTCAATCTGGTTTAATGTGTACATTGCAAGGTGGAACCTATTTGGATTCACCTTGGTATATTTGTCATTGTTGCGTCTCACCCCCTCCTTTTCTATGTCCTTTTTTTTTTTTCTCTACAATCACAAAAGCAGCGGATTATACTTTATTTCACATCATCAGGCCAATGGTATTTGCTAAAAATAAAAATTTAAAAAAATTAAAAACGTATACTGAAAATAAAGATTAAAACTGTATCTTCTTATTTTTTATTTTTATTTTATTTTCTCCTTTTCTTCTTCACTTTTGCTTTCTCTCCTTTTCTTTTTCTTCTTCTCTCTTCTTTCCCCTCCTCTTCCTTTTCTCTTTTCTCTCTCCCCTCCTAATTCCTTTTCTTTCCTCTCCCTTTTTTCTCCTACTCCCTCTTTTTTCTTGCCTTTCTTTTATTCCCTTTATTTTTCTCTCATTATCAAGAGATTGAATTCTTACAAGTGCTACACATGCCAGTTAAGAAATATTAACCAGAAAGGGCTTGTGGGATATTAATAATGATGATGATAGAAATCTTAATTCTGTGCCACTAATAATCAGGACAAATCTGAATATACAACACCTTATTGACAATCGGCACACAGACATTTTCCCTTTATTGGATAGTTTATTACTTATGGTCAAGGCAATACCTTGGACTCTATTTGGTTTTACCTTTTATATATATCTATATATATATATATATAATGGTAGCAAATGGGGCTTAGATTAGTTTGTTCCAAGAAAATAGACTATAGTTTCAATATGTCCACTTGAAATGTCTCTCTACTTTATTGCTCTATCATATATAGTGTGTGTATTCTACCTGAAAGGTTAAGATTTGGCATAAAAAAAGAATTTACCATTCTGCATAGTTTCCACCATCTCTTTTGAGATACTTTTTTGCCTGCAACTTGCACACTGACTCTTAAAGTAAAAGGTACAATTTGCAGTCTCTATTTCGTAAAAATTGCAACCTTTTATATTTTAACAAGGGTTGAAGTTTTAAGTCACCCTTAGAGGCATTGCATATAATTTGTTTCATATGTATTGACTTTTTGTATATATTTATTTATATACTTATTAATATCTAAAATGTGTGTGGGAACACGGAGGACAACGCTGAATATGCAATGCCTCATTTATAATCATGGCCTGTAGACTGCATTAAAGATGAAACAGACAGTCGCCACTTGGTGTTGATCTCTGTATCCCCTTTTATATTCACATACACTCTGTCCCTAATATTGAGCAATTTTACCAATAAATATAGCACATGCCAACTATGTCCCAGGCTTAAAAAGATATGTACTTTTTTATTTACAAATGTCAAGTTTGAAATTGCTTGCATTATTGATAACTACTTACTGCTAAAAAATTGAATATTTAATAGTACGCAATTATCAAGAACATAATCTTTCAAATTTGATATTTGTAAAAAAAAAAAAAAAAAAAACTGTTTAAAAAGTCACAGTGGTAGATTTGACATTGTACAGTGTAACCCGGATATAAGAGAGTTGTCGGGACCGGAGAAGAAGTCTCTTATATCCGGGTTTGGTCTGTTTTATATACAGTGTAACCCAGATATAAGAGAAACCCGGATGTAAGAGATTTTCTCTGGTCCCAAATTAGAGCCTGTGTTAATGTATATAAAATAGACCAAACCTGGATATAAGAGACGACTTCTCCGGTCCCGACAACTCTCTTATATCTGGGTTACACTGTATATTATGAACAGGAAACCCCTTTCAAAATAACAAAAAAAAAATCTGTTTTTTGATTCTGACAAATGTGGGAAGGTAAAGGTCAGGAACGCTAGAATCAAGCAGACGTGGCAGTTTAAATATCTGAGAAGCGTTTTGACAGGACAGTAAATGTGACACTGAGATCCATAGAAATATTGAGATGGCCAAGGACATATTCCAAAAGATGGGCAGAGTATTGCAAGACAGGATTTCTTTGGTAACAAAGAAAAGAATACTGAGCTGTTACACAGCATCTGTCTTTCTTTACAGCAGTGAATGTTGCACAATTTCCTCAAAGATGAAGAGACTCAAGGTGACAGATGTGGCTCTACAGAGGGAAATCATGGACCAAGCGTGTGAGCAATGATGAGGTCAGAGAGGATGCAAACAAGGAGTCTTATACTTAACATCAGGAAGAGACAGCTGATGTTTCTGGGACGCATAATGAGGAAGGAGTGCCTGGAGGATCTGATACTCACAGGTCGAATAGAGGGGGGAAAAGTGACAAAGGAAAGCAACACATGACTGGCTTAAGCAAGTGGATGGTAGAACGTGGTCTAGGGGAGTTGGCAGAGGCATGAAACTTATTGGGAGCCACAAGTGAGGGAGGTGGAAAGCCAAGAATTTATAAAAAAAAAAAAAAAAAAAAAATACTCCTCTTACCCACCCACACATCCCCCCAAAAAACCTTCCCAATTGTTCACAAAAACAAACTGATGATTTAAATTCTCCACGAAGTCCTACTTTTAACTAAGAAAATAAGAAGAGGCTGAAATTTGAATTTCTCAAAATTTCATCAAATTAAGTGGGGGTAACATTTAAAAACAAATTTATCAAGATATTTTTTTTTTTTTTTTTTTTCAAAGTAAGAAATTTTCATAATTTGTGAATAAGTCTTGAAAATTTTATTAAACTCTTACAATTATTTGATTTTTGTCAGAGTTTCCAAAACAATGTGTTTTTAATACCAAAAAAGATGCTAGAAATTCCTATACCTATCTTTGTCCCACCTACTGATGCAAGAAAAATGATGTTTTTTAACCAAAATTTCAAGCGTGCTAGAAGAGATTAAAAAATATAATAAAATAATTTTAAAAAATTGATCTTTTCTTTTAGTAATAACAAACATTTTGAAGATAAAACTTTGTTTTTATCAAGTTTAGGACCTTTTTTTTTTATCATGGTATGTTCTTTTTAAGAACATTTTTGAAAGTACCAGAAACCAAATCCTAAACAGGAAACAAGGGATAAACCTCTACTCCTGATCAAAAGGCCAGGGAGGTGTGTGAACCAAATGATAGGTAAATCTATCTACTCCTATTGGAAGAGGAAAAAAAATAATTAGTGAATAAAATTTCAGAGTGCAAGTATAGATGTCAGAAGTGTAAAACTGAAGTAGGCCTTAAAAGGAACTGGAAATCCAATCCTAAACAAGAGATAAACCTCTAATCCTGTTCAAAAGACTGGGAACAAGTTTGAGCCAGACAATAGGCTAATCTATCTACTCCTTGAATCATAAACCTCTTGCATGTATCTATTAAAAAACAGGTGTGATAGTCAAAATTTCATTTTCTTTATTTTTGGAAAGTCAAGAAAGAAGTTAATGTATTGTAGTTCTCTCCTAGTACTATCTCTCAAAATTACTGATCGAAATATAAATATGACTACACAAAATGGTTCAGTTTTACTTTTCCTTTCTTTTTTTTTTTTAATTCTATTGTACACCAATATCAGGCCTAAAAGCCACTCAAGGTAGAGGGTTACTGAATGAGTGTGTCTGGAGAGTTTGTAAGAGATGCAAATACATTTAATAGGAATAGATAGCCTTGCCTGTTCACGCTCCTTACCTGTCGGGTAGAGATTTATCCCGTGTTTCCTGTTTAGGGTTCGGTTTCCGGTTCCTTCTAAAGTTTTCTCACTGTCTTTCTCTCCCAGTAACCGCATGCATCTTAGTGACATTACTTGGGTTGAAATGATTTAAAAAAATATTACAAGGATTTGTAGGTTAGATAACAATTAAACCAAGATTTAAAGAGATTATGATCATTGTGATTGGAGAAGCATCCTCTAGGGTATCTGTTCCGCAAAATAATAGTTCCAGGAATACAAAGGGAATGAGGATGAGGTCGCCTTGTGAATATGGCATGGAACTAAGAAATGTAGCTCATTTGAACATTTGCCATGAAAATAGTGATAGAGTACCAAGAGGTTAACAACATTGTGTCTGTGCAGAAAGAGGTTGTATAGTAGGAAACTAATTCATCAGCTAGAAGGCTACGTAAATGATTTTGAACTTTGTCAAGGCAAGAAAGTGAAGATTGGCTAGCTCCAGCCCAGATACAGCAGTTAGAATCCATTCTACTCTTTCAAATATAACACACTGATAAGACTAAATATGGCACATTGATACTTAGTGTGGCTAATTCAACAGCATATTAACACTTGTCTGGTTATTTATTACTAATGTTTTGTTTTGGAGGTGTTTAAAATTTACAAGCCATTCCTTTCCCCCAGTTAACCACTGGAAGTCAGTTTCAAGAGCATTTGCCAGTTTTACTTTGTCGGTCTGTTGGATTTGCTACTAAAACAATATCATTTCTGGGATGAGGAAATATTATCCTCATTGTCCTCATCTTTCTGGTTGTTATCACAACATTTCAGCCATTGAAATTTACAAGCCATTCCTTGCCCCACTTAACCACTGACTGAAGTTACTTTTTAAGAGCAGTTGCCAGTTTTACTTTATCAGACTTGCTCTTAAGACAATATTTTTTGTCTAAATTTCTAGGATGAGGAGTATTATTTACATTTGGATTATTGTCCTCATATTTTCTACAGATATCATAGTGTAAACAAATGTCTGAATCCTATTTTCTCAGGACCCAAGAGATTTGGACAACACATTAATCAGGTCTTCTTCTTGTCAGTGGGGATCTTGGTTTTGCTCAGTTTTACTAAATCTTGTCTAGTTAAATTTGGGCTCAGTTCTCCTTGAAACTGTTTTTAAATTCATTTAATTATTTGAAAACATAATTTTTAGCATGTTTCATTTTTAATTTTCTTCTCGTCCATTCAACCTTCTCTCCTGAGAATTTTAATAATTATTATCAAATTAGTAGTCTCTGCAAATCTCCATCCTGTAATTTAAACATTTAAACAAAGCCAGTACTCTGTTACACTGAAGCATATTTCAACAAACAAAGTTTAGTAAAATACCAGAGTATTGTAATTCAGTAAATAAAATTCTGTAGATAAAAAAACAAGAAAAAGTAAAAGATGTTTCCCTCCCTCCCTCCCTGGAAATCTAAAATTCCCTCAGTGGAAAATTACCCCTAGTTGAGGACCCTGATACGGAAGATAGGTAATGATTGATCCTTGACAGAATTCTGTTCCATAGTGTAGCAAGAAGCTGCCTGAGTAGAATACCTTTCTTAGAAATGGAATATAGGGAGAATGAAGGTGGTTTGACTCTGTGGATATAGCATAAGTCTGAACTGGTGGAACTAAAGAATGGTCTTTGTTCAAACATTTGCCATGGAAATAGTGATAGGCTTGAAAAAGAGTTTGCAAAGCGGAGAATAAGTCATCATCCACAAGGCTGGGTAAACAACTTTGAACTCAGTCAATGCCGGAAAGTAAGGATTGGGTGGCTCCAGCTCAGATATGGCAGGAATACTCCATTCTTGGTCTGAGCTGACTTTTTATAAAGATAAAGTGTGGTAGAAGGAGTCAGGTATTTTCTGGAGCAATATGAGGAGTCGACCATTTTCC